TGCAGTGTTGGTCTTTGGCCACCACTTTGATTCTCTGCATTAAATCCACTCAGGAGGTGGAAACATCTGCAGAGAAAAGTGAACCATGAAAACTTTCTAACACATCTGTCCGTCTTCCTTCTTTGTCTCCCAGCTGTTAGATTGTTTCGTCATCCCCGTCGTCCTGCTGTTGTCCTGGTTCTTCCTCCTAGTGAGGTACAAGGCTGTCCACTTTGTTGGGGCGGGACTGTGCCTGCTGGGAATCGGCTGCATGGTTGGAGCTGATGTCCTGCTTGGTCGGCAGCAAGGCCTCGGTGAGCTTCCACACATTAAAACTCTCAGCGCTGCAGGTTTCCGTGTGAATGTAGTGAGCTTGTCGAGGTGCAGACTTGCAGTAGTTTTGCTCTTCATGTAGGAGAGCAGAAGCTGTTTGGTGACCTTTTGGTTCTGGGAGGCGCGACGCTCTACGGGATCTCCAATGTCTGCGAGGAGTTCATTGTTAAGAACTTGAGCCGTGTGGAGTTTCTTGGCATGATGGGACTTTTCGGATCTTTCTTCAGTGGGATCCAGCTGTAAGTTTGTGGGGCGACTCCACGTTATGCTACCTGACCTCTGCTGCACTTCTTGTAAAGACACAGAGTTTATGATGATTTTTAAAAAAATTGAATTTCCCTTCTGGGATAAATAAAGTATTTTTAATTTTTCATTAATTTCATGATGTAGCAAAGCTAGTTGTTTGGTAGGTGAGACATCTGGACTGAGAACACCACAGCAGAAAGCTCTGGATCTGTGTGTTTCTGTTGTGTTGCAGAGCCATCATGGAGCACAAGGAGCTGCTGAAGGTACCCTGGGACTGGCAGATAGGTGACAACAGACACACACAAACACACACATTCACACATGCACTCTGGTCCGGTCCACTGAACAGGTCGGCTGCATATCTGAATGTTCACCTGGTCGCTTATCTGTAAAAGTCACACCTGCAATCTCAGAACTTTGATTTGTGTAAACTGATTTGAAGGAGTTTTCCACATCTGAGCATCAATGTTCATTTGAAAACATCACAGGGACACTTAATACACATGGTGTGTTCAAACCACAACGCACCTTTTTTACCTGCTTTGCTTTATGATTTCAGATATATTCAGCAACAAAATGAAATGTCCACATGAAAACTTTATTGTGATGAAAACAGACACGCACAGCTTAAAGAATAATGATGCTCATCAATAATGAATGTAATCCCAGATTTGTTGCCACAAGATGTTCAGAGGAGCTGAAGTTTGTTTGAACTGTTGTCTCTGAGTTCGTCTGATATCTGCAGCATCAGACAGCAGCAGGATCCAAACAGAGAGCTGCAGCACTTACACACTGAACAGCAGCAATAACTTCATCTATTAGGGTTTAACTAAAAATTATTCCTCACATAGAGGAAGAGCCAATCAGAATGTTACAGCAGCTGTGGACATTTGTTCACCTCAGACAGGTGAGCTGTCAGACAGTCAGTTTATCAGCTGCAGGTAATCCTTTGTCACATTGCAGCGTCCTCAGGTTGAGTCCTAAACTCTCAGTTTCATTGTTTAAGGCCTGATCATCCAACACAACTGTAAGGTCTTTTCTAACATGCTGTTTGAATTTGGTGGCTGCAGTAATGTCAGTATTCATGTGTCACATATCAGCTGCTGTCCCTCAGCTGCAGCCTGAGTGTTGGCTGTGCTTTTATGGCTGCTTTGTGTCGTTGCTTTCAGTCAGAGACGAGCATTTGAAATGTTTACTTGGAAAGCTGCATGACGCCTGTATTCCAGTGTGTTCTGTACAAGTTTTTACTTCCCTAGATCTGTCCAAGGTGGAGGGTTCGGTGGAGAGCACAAAGTTAGCACGACCCACAGAGACACAACAGCAGAAACAACAGTGCAGCAGACTGAAATAAACAGGACTCTGCATTTAAAAAGCAAATGTACTGTCAAATAATGTGCTGCCTTTGTGCATTCGCAGGTCTTCTCTACATCGGTTTTAGTGCCTTCATGTTCGGCCTGTACAGCTTCATGCCAGTGGTGATGAAGAGGACTAGTGCTGCTTCAGTCAACCTCTCGCTGCTCACCGCTGACTTGTACAGCCTCTTCTGTGGCCTCTTTCTGTTCCACTACAAGGTAATCCAGCTGCCAGGAATCACTGGTTTGGTGATGAGCAGGTCAAAGACATCTGGGCGTGGCTGCACCTCATCATCACTCTGCTGTAGGGAAACATCTCTGGTGTATTTCTGTTTCTTTAAACAAATCATGATCATCTTGGACGACCACGACCCAGACAGAACGTCCTCCCGTTAGTCCACTGACAATTAACTCAGACCTCTCTCTCTCTCTATATATATATATATATATGTGTGTGTGTGTGTGTGTGTGTATACACACATGCCACTACAGATTGAAGCCCTGTGTGTACTCGCTGCTCGGATCACTTTTTAATTCAGTTAATTCATATATATATATATATATATCCTAATACAATTGGATACAGTAATCAAAATATAAGCATAGCAATTAATCTACACATTTTTTTAAAGCCACATAGATGCTCGGGGTGGACTCAGTGTAGATCTGTGGGGGATGCTGGCATTTACAAGATCTGAACAAGCTTTTAGTTTTGTCTGTCTCTGTGTTGCAGTTCTCGGGCCTCTACCTGCTGTCATTCTTTGTCATCATCCTGGGCTTGGTCCTTTACTCCTCCTCATCAACATACGTGGCCCAGGACCCACGAGTCTACAAGCAGTTCAGGAACAGCAGCAGTCAACCAGCCAGTGAGCCGAACCTGCTCAGTCCTGGAGTCCCGGAGCCCTCTGTCACCTACACCAGCCTGAGCCCAGAGCCCGGCGACGAGCTTCCTGTCCGAGTAGCCTAAGCTTATCTGGGAGGTTTGTCTGTCAGCCTGGTGGATCAGCGAGCCTACCTCCAGGTTCCCCACAGTTTGATTCAGAGGAATAGTGCTGGAGGTACCCAGTCTGCTGAGCAGGGCAGCTGGGAGGTCACCAGGTAGGTCCAGGTTTTCATCTCATGACTTGTATTGAGGGACGTCTTCATCTCCCACTGACCAAGCTGTTACGTGTCCACATCATGTATGTACCTGATAAACGACTGACCAGAATGTAAGTAAAACAAATAGCAATGCGAGTGAAAGTGTTCACTGTGATCACAGACTGTGAGTAGACAGTAGTGACTGTAAATGATCAATCATGTAAATAGATCTCATTGTAACTTCACTCAGTCTCCTTTTTATATCTGTCCAGAATGTCTGCTTCAAACTGTGTAAACGCTGAAGTTGCACTTCATGACTGTGTTCATTTTCTTTCTTATTATCTGATTGAAAGCCACCTGTACAAAGTCAGTGACAAGTATATGCCATGAAATGACTCACAGACTGACCCCCTTGTATTATTTCACTTCGGGCAACAAGGAAGTTCTCAGACTGCACCTATAAGTCAGCAGCTGATTTGAATGTAACCTCCATCCCTGTTGAAGTGTCTCCTTGTGCAGTGATGCTCTGGTTTGAATGTTCTCAGGACGTGACAGGAGAACTCTGTGTTCATAGTCTGGAGGATGAACTGAAGGTTGCAGCGATCAGAATGACATGACCGCCCACATTCATTCAGCTTTGTCTCGGTACCGCCAGCAGTCATCCAATAGTCCAATCCTAACTTTCCACATAGTTTGAAACCAGCCTCTAGGAAAACCTTCAGGTGGACGTCTTGGAGATGGCGCTGTGTGGGTCAGTGAAGCAGAAGGACAACTTCATCTCAGCATCCGATCGCATGTAAAGTCTGCATCATTGTAGCCATCAGGGATCTAAAGGGATCCTCTTTTGGTGTCATCAGCAGGAATGGACAAGGACTGAGGATTTCCTCGCTGGAGTTTCCCAGGACTTGCTAGTTTCAGTTGAACCAAGGCTGACGCTGCAGTCCTGATCTTTTACCGACTGACAGACTGTCCGTGGTGAGTTCCGGTGTGAATAATGTTGAGTTGGTGCACCACGCTGACAGACGCTGTTCAAGTTGTTCAAAGCCAGGGCAGACTGTTACCGGACCGGACTGGACTCACAACACACACATTCACCCATTCCCATGGCTTGCTGGTTGGTTTTGTAAATACACTTTCTAAAGTCTGAACTGAGTTGTGGTTTGTCTGTTTGAGCATTGTTGTTCTGTTTTTGTGCCTGATCACCCAGTTATGTCTGGTTTAACAATATGATTCTAGTTTTCTTATTTGTCAGACTTGAGTCTGACTAACATCCCTCAGGATTAATCAGTGTCAAACCCACCACAAGGCAACAGCCAGGTGAATGCTAAAGGAAACTCTCCACCTCCTTCTCTGGTTCCTCCATTGTTGTTGTTTGGTCTGGTAACCATGGCAGCCACAGACCTTCCTCTGGTCACCATGTCCATCCTCCACATGAAGGTTGGATCTTCCAGCTGCTGACTGACTGTTGGAGCTTGGTGGAGGAACGTTGTGCAGCTGCCAGTGGTCAGAACAGGACTTACAGGGAGCTGTCCAAGTGTTGCAGGAGCACTGGGAGCACTGGGAGTACTGGGAGCAGAGGATCACTGTACAAGGAGACACGTTAGCAGGGATGGAGGCTAAAGTTAAACCAGGTACAGTTCATGGTTTTTAACGACACAGTCTCTGGAGCTCTTGATCAAACCCTCTGCTTGAAAATATGAGTAGACTTAATGTTTTTATTTGGCAGCTTGTGCACCAAACAGCCAGAAAGTCATTGTGACAGCGGAAAGATGGCTTTAAAACAGCATTTAGACTTCATCTGGAAACAAATCAATGAACTCAATTAGAAACTTTAATTTTGGTGTCTGGTCAGGTGTTGGTGGGGTCGTACACTTGAAGGACGTAGCTTTGGCCCTGAATCGTCCTTTATTAGTTCATCCTGTAAAGAAAAATGGATGCTTCTCAGACTGGAAGGTTTTCTATCGTGTACAGATGACTGTAACTCCCTCTATTACTCTCTGAATCAAAAATCAGCCCCCAGAACCCTGCAGGTGCAATTGTAGCTGCAGCCAAACAAAGATATCGTATAACGCCTTCGATAGCATCAGTTAGAGGTGAAATAGGATCTAAAGTTTGCTTTAGTGGCCACAAATCCACCACACTGACCTGGACTCTGTGTTGCTTCTACTTTCAGACGGTACAGATCCATTTTGCTGGCGTAGCTCCTTGTTTCTCAGTGACAGCTGGGTTAACTCCAAGACGATAAATGGCTCCGTTAATCCCAGAACACTGGATAATGTCTACCTGCCGTTTTCATACAGTGAAAAAATGACAGAAAAAACAAATACACAGAACGTGTGTGTGCACGAGATTGTTCAAAATGTTGGCAGTAGTTTAGTTCTTGTTTACTGTAACGCTGTGGAAACAACTATCACTGAAGAAACATCAAAGCTGTAATTCAAAAGGGGTTCAAACAGTTTCTGTTCAGATGGATTTACTTCAACTGGAAAATACTACAGTTACCGTCAAAGCAGCAGGGTGTGACTCTATGAGGTCCACGTGGAGGCTGCTTGGTGAGTTTGGACTCTGGGTCCAACCATAAATCTCAAGCTGCATTTCAGCAAGAAGCATCCAATCACTGAGTGTTTTCATTCTAACATTGCATGAAGTTAAATTATGATGCTGAGAAAACACAGTCTGCAGTTTAAATCAGTTCACTTACAAAGTCTGGATCCGCTGGTGGGTTTGATATTTGCACCTCTTGCTACCTTTTACAGCTTTTATTCATCCTACTGGTTTTAGGCCCTTCATTTCAAAGAAGCTGCAATAATTAAAACCACCAGGATGACATTATCTGGGAAACCCAGCGTTTGTCTTCCCGGATATAGGAAATAGTTTTAGTGGGAATATTTAAAAACTTTGCTGCTCCTTCATCAGCTGCCAGACGAGCCTTCCACCCTGCTGTGTGTGATGTTTTGTTCACAGCTACAACACATGGCATTACACCACCATGACCTTCATTTCTCAGATGGGACAAAGCTCTTTATTACTACACAAATTGTATTAAATGAGAAATTGTTGACGTTTTAAGATACCTTTAATAAACCAGAAGTACATCTCAGAACTTTCTGTTTGCAAACTGAACAAGAAAAACTGATTCAGTATTTTTTTCAGTGTTGATGACTAATTTTACAGCTAAAGTCTGAAACGAATACAAAACCATGTTCACAACTTTAAGAACTTCTTCATAAGACAGAGCGCTGAGATGCCTTACACTCAAATCTCGCTGATGCTGATCATCAGTGTTTACGCCACGAAGCTGTTTGGTTCGAGCCAACAGGGTCACAGATTGTCCTCCAGGTGTAAGAACATCACTCCTTCCTACGCTGGTCCTAATCCTGTCTGGTCAGGGACTGAAACACGGCTGTGTTAGCGAATGCAGTAAAGATGAAGCTCTACAGGGGGTTTGTTCTGGTTCTTCTCTTTCTGAATGTGTTTAATCTCCTGTTTGTGTTATTTACAGAGGACTTCTCTTGTCACTGTCTGTTGGACGCAGTTCATCAGAGTCACATCTAACAATATGCTCATATTGATGTCATTTACAGTAAATAAAGCGTCTTTGTCAGAACACCCAGCCATCTAAAATCTACTTCAGTATACTTCAGTTGATGTGTTGGATTGAAACCAAACACTTCCCTGCAAGAAAAACAAAGCTAGTTTCAAGGGAAGCTGTTGCTACAAGTAGCCCAAACTGTCTTTGCTTAATTATCTGCAACTCTTGGGGAGCTGCTCTAACTTCCAGGACAGCAGCTGAAGTGACAGATGCAGAGAACATCTGTAGGGAAGATGGAGAGCAAAGCACACAGGGACAGCACTGGACCCTACATGAAGAGGCGGAGAGCATCCTACAGAGACAACACTGTGAAACCACCATCCTTCAATGTCATGTTGAAAAAGAATTTAACTCCCTGCACTCTCCAGAAAATATCACATACAGATGCTTTTTTTTCTCTAGATCGAGAGTCGAGATTAACTTTATGTGTTCATAACTTTACACTGGAATAAGACTATCTTCACTGGAAGACACATAGAGCATGGTGAAGCACATGCAAGCCTGGAAAAGGTTCATATCTGTAGTATGTGGAGCCTCCATTTGGTCCAGTGTTGGTAGCACCTGTGGACACCTGGGCTGTGTCCGAAACCACGGACATGTTGGTTCTTTACATTTTTGCAAAATAAATAATCAAAGAACAGTTTTTCTGGTTTGTGTCATTCTAACTGTGTCCTGCTGACAGAGAACAGTTCTCTGTCCTTCTTCGTGTTGCTCTGGTTCCACAGGGGTGCAGGACTTTGTGTTGTGGTGAAAAATGAGCCACAGGGAAGAAAAACGAGAGCGATCAGAGAAACACCCAGAAAGTGCGATTGGAAACTACTCGGAGTTTCGAGGGTTAATGAGCAGTCGGATACATGACATCTCCAGCAGGGGGCGTTGTGCACAGTGGCGCTCGTAAAGCGACAGGAGAAGAAGACTCAGAGCAGATCATCCATCTTCTGAGAAAACATCGACATCTGATCAGCGGCGGACTGAAGGAGAAACATCTCCATCATGGGAGCTGTTCTGGGTCTGTGCTCCATGGCCAGCTGGGTGAGGACTCTTTATTCACTCTTACATTAAAGTGAATGTCGTTGGTGTTGTTATCTGACGCTGACGTGACTGCGCACTATAACAGCAGGCCGCACAGGGAGCGGACTGTGGCGCAGAGGTAAACAGCGCAGCAAGCTGTTAGCATGCAGCTGCGGAGGAATAACTACAAAACACACGGC